GCGCTGTTAGCTACAACACTAAATTGCTGCTTTCATGTTAATGTGTCAGTGTATTCTACAGTTTTAATTTACATATATGCAGTATTATAACACTGCATAGCTGCTTTTACTATTGATTAAGAAGAAACTTTTTTTTTAGAGCCAATATGGATGAGATGCCCTTAAAGCATTTAGGGGAAAAAAAGGAAAATGTATTAAAGCTCAAATTAAAGCACATGTAGTGGGACCGTTTTCACAGTTTCTGAGTTCTTCTCTTGACTTGTGCTATCTCACTGAATTTAAATTTTGTTATGTGATTTTTTTTTTTTTTTTTTTGCCAGATGTGGCCTTCAGATATAATTTACAGACAGAAGGTGTGTAATGAAAAATCCTCTGAACATAAGTCAGGCAACTGGCCTCTTGAATCACCCCTTACGTGCAAGGGAAGCTGTATTAAGCTGATTAAGCGATTGGAAATGTGGCAGGACCAGCAGTGTGCAGCGGTAAAAGCCAGTTAATAACTTTATGAGGATCCTTGGTGCTTTGCCCATATCGTTAATGCTCTTCACAATCAGAAGTGGCATAAAGCAATAACCTGCTGCCTACCCTTGTGGCTAACTTTCAGTTGAGGCTACATTGCACATGCATCGGAGTTTTCCCCATCACATTAATTCACTGAAAGTTTTGTATACTGCTGGATTCGCCTCTGTGCAAAATCACTATGTCCATTTTTATGTCTGGCTTTGGTCAGTGTTGGCTTTTTAGCCGTGCTAGCTGTGTGCCTCTATAGACTGCAGTGTTGTTCTGTCATCTGTCTCAGTGGGTTGATTTTATCTAAAATGAAATATTTCAACAACTGTTTGGTGGATTGTTGTGCACAGGCACTAGTATTACCCAGAAAGTGATGTGTACTGATTTCTGTGATCCCCTGACCTTTCCTATAGCACCAGCATGAGGCTGATGTTTCTTGCTTTGAGTTAAAGATGTCAACAACTATTGGAGGGTTTGCCAAGAAATTTGGAACAGACATGTCCCCATCAGGAAGAATTGTAATGTCTTTGGTGATCCATTAATTATAGTCATTAGGTCCGATATGCTTGTGACAAAAAGAATAACTTTCCCATCAGCCTCGGTGATACGTTGTGTTTCGTGCTCTTTAGCTAATGTTAGCACGCTAACAAGGGAAATTAATGGAATACCTGTTGGATGGGTTGCCATTAAATTTGGAGCAGACATCCATGATGCCAAGAGGATGTGATCAGCCCACCTTTCCTTATCTAGCAGTGTCATAACCTAGAGCCTTTCTACAATCCATAGATTGGCACAACATGTTTTACAAACATTCATAGATCAAAATGTCCTGGTCTCTTAACTTTTCATTCAGTTATTACTGTGGTTTCTGACAAAATGCTAGCAAAACTAATGACGTTCCCTCCAACATGAGCTGAGTTTAGTGCAAATTAGCTAATGTTAACACGCTAACCTGCTAAACTAAGATGGTGAATGGTGAACATTAAATTCTGCTAAACATATGTGGTTAGCATTAGCTACTGTGAGCCTATAAGCATGGCTACCACTTAATATCTGTACAGAGCCACTGCTATGTTAAATATTGAATAGTGAAATAACCAGGCAGGCATCTCAGTATATTTTACTATCCACTATGATGCTTTACTGCCTCATGGTGAACAAGTGGTTCTCTTCTCAAAATTAAACACAGTAGTTAAAAACATCGGTTGACGGTTATTAAAAGCAGCGTTTCCACAATCAGCTGCACTTAGGGAGCTCAGTCCTGAGCCCACAGGCAAGAATATGTTTAATTATTCCCTCTCAAAGTAAAACGAGACAAAACCTTCCCACTGCAATCCACTTGCCTCTCTACATTGTGCTCCCTTTTTCTCCTGACCCTCCCGTCCCGCCTTTACCCTGTCTCCTGCTCTGTCAACATCATCTGCCACCATGGAGCAGAGAAGCTCAGAAGTGGACCTTTTTACTTTGCTGCAGGTGGCTGATGCAACTGAAGCAAGAGGCAGTGACAGTCCTTCTTCACTTGCTTCCCCCCACCGCCTTGTTCCCTGTGTGACACAAACTCCCTCTTCCTCACCAGACTCCTAAATAGAAAATTTTCTTGACAAATTGTTTGGATAACCAGGTATCACAGAAAAACATATTAGCATTTAAAAGCAGCGTTTAAACAGTTAATACATGTTTTATAGCATACACATATTATTTAATGTCTGTTGTATATTTTTACATTTATCTATTATTGCAGCTATTTTATACTGTTATTAATCATTCATACAAAAAGTTATGAGAAATTATGACTGTTGACAAGTACTCTAATACATACTTGAAAATACCCCCATGTCTACTTTAAGCAACATTTATAGAGTTTTGAACTGGTGTTTATACATTTTGCTTATAAAAAGAAAGAATTAAAGTAAAGTGACAGTGGAAACATTTTTAAACGTTAAGATATAATTTTAATGTTTAGCTCTACCTTTGATGTGTATAATGTGTTGAATACTTACATCTGCTTTAGGTGTATTTAAGAACATTCACTCTTTTCTGGTGGCAGAAAGTAAATTATTACAGTTAATGAAGCCACCTCAGTGTATTTGTGAAATACTTTCATTTTAAGAATTTTCAAATCATGCTATTTTATACCTATTACTCCACTAGACTTATTTCACAGATAGTAAATGAGTAGCTTATAAAACATGTTGCATTGGGTTAAACCTACAAAAACATGTATAAAGCAAATGAAATTAGTTCCACTGTCCTCATTTACAAAATTAAAGTACAATATTTTGATGCATCTGCAAAAATAATGATTAAAATACATGTTCAAAGAATGTGAATGTGGGCTCATATATGTTCAAAACGGTTATGTTTTTTTTGTTAATCTAAGCATGTTAAAACAATTGTTATTAGTTTAAAAAAAACTGCTCTTGGGGTCTGCATGCAACCAGGCAAATTAAATGAGCAGTTTTTAATTTCTGAGCTCCTTGCTGTGTGGGAACATTCAGCAATGGCTCAGCATGTCAAACCATGTCAAGTGTTACAGTTCCCTTCCTGTTTTTTGGGGAGGGGGATATCACCCCAGAGATGAATTAAACCAAAAAGGCTTGTCTTCAGACCCCTTCCTAAAATGATTAACCCTTCTAGAGAGTATTATTGAGCTCTGAGTGGTTGTGCTTTCTCATTGCCTGTAATTGTTCTTTTTCTGTTGTTGCCTTCATCAGTCTCTCTCCTCATTATATGAAAAGAAGGAAAAAATGTTTGAATAGAGGAGGGAGATTTTCCCACAGTCACTCAACACAGAAAAATACGCCATTGTGGCCAGGTTCCCATCCCAATGCCCCGCTGCACAGTCCGCTGTGGTCTGAGGGACAATGTTCTTATAATTGAGTGACCATTCTTTTTCCTGTCTGAAAAGTAAGTGATGGAGAATACAGTTAAATCTCGCTACAAATCTCACATTTGAATCAGCCCAGTGTGCAGGTCTGAAGGTTCTTAGTGACTGCAGATATAAATTGGGGTGAAAATCCTGAACAGTAATACAATATACTTAGATTATGTGTTTTTCTGTAGGCTTGCACTTGATGTAGATGAATGTGTAATTATACTTGAGTGAGTATAGCCAGAACTAAATTTTCTTCTTTAAACATCATTCATCTTGCATTTCACCAATTAGTAAAACCCTTTAGTGTGTACTGTTCTAAAGTATGAGCAGTGAGTGGGTAATATCACCATTACCTGCAACATCCTTATTTTACAGCTATAAAACTAAGCAAATGTATTTGACGCTCAGTTCATACACTGTGCAATGTCAAAGTGCTTTACATATATTTTAAAGTTGCAGAAGTAAATTTTAAAAACGAATGAAAGAAAAATGAACATGTAAATATATGATCAGTTTATAAAATATGATGTATCATTAAGCTATAGGGAGTTGCTAGAAATCTCACCAACGTGACCAGCTACAACAGTCAAATGCTGCTTGCATGAAAATACATATATTAAGTTCCACTTAGCAATATAAGCAGTATATAAGCATTATAAACATGGCTTGCAACACACTATAATGAAGTTATAAGCAAATATGTTTGTTTTTTTTTGTTAACTATAACTCCCCCTGTGGACATCCATGGGGGCTGGTGCGTACCCATCATGGATGATAAAAACACTGCTGTAATAATATAAAATATTAAATATAATTTTTATAGGAGAAATGATATATTCTGACTTTCATAAACACTTAAAATAGCTCCACAGTTTAAGCAATTTCTTAAATGTTTGTGTACTGCATTTCAATGCTAACTAGAGGGAATTCAAGTAGTGTATGAAATATTTCATAATAAAAAAAAGTAAAATATTAAAAGCAAGTATTTCTATTGACAATTTAAAAAGCCAAATACAGAAAGACGTGCACAATCCTGTAACAGAAAAAACAAACTTTTTCCGAATAATTTTATTGGACCTTTCACTAGTTCCTGAATTTTTCTAAATCAAACAACTTATCGAGGTAATAATAGCAAGATTAGTCCTTTTTTTAAAACAATTATATCTTAAAAATTGAATAACATGCTGCTTTACTTTTTCCTTGTCATGGTAAAATGAATAGCTTTAGATTTTAAACTATTGGTTGGATGAAACAAAACATTTGAAATTGTAAGAGGCACTGTTTTATAACTTTTTGATGTTTTGTAGAATAGACCACTGATAGATTAGGGCTGCAACTAACAATTTCAATAATTAATTTGCCAGTTTTTTTTATTAATCTAAGTATATAATATATATATATTAGTAATATAAAAGTTATATTCTTTCACTTTTATTTTAAGTGCATTTCCTTGAGTAGCGTATAGGCCTATAATTTTAAATGCATAACTCTGACTTTTAATAAAGTACTTTTACATTGTAGTATTAGTACATTTAGTCAAGTAAAGGTTCTTCTATCACTGCTCTCCTATTTTTTTCTATTGTGAACAGTTATTTTCATGGTGAAGCCGCTACTCCATCTGCTGCGCAGGCGCACAGCGTGCTGCAACATTCGGACCAATCAGCGGCCAGTGTTCCAGGAACGTCCAACAGCAATGGCGGAGACAATGAAGCAGAGTGGAAAACATGCTATTCCTAATGAATCCAGTAAAGTGTCCAGTTACGCTGACTGCGTGTGCGCGTTACTGAAGCTGCTAGCAGACTTTGGGAAAGAGGTTAGTTAATATAGTTTGAGCCACGTACCCTCAAGTTACAGATTTTTAGTCCGTGTTGTTTGCTAGCCAGATGCTAATGTTTTTAGCAACCTGGTGTATTAGCAGGGCTGTTTATTACGTATCTGATTCCGCTGTTCATTCATTGTTACTCAGCATTCAAGTGATGTTTTAGACCTGCAAGTTGCAGTAAAGTAACTGTGCGTGGGTTTCTGCTGGCGGTAAAAGATTTAATTATCTCTGTTTAAACGGCTTACAGTTAACGCTAATGCACATGGTCAGATATAGCTAATCGAGCCACTTCGGCTGATTGGTGTAACGTTAAGCAGAGGGCATTAATTTTACATCAACGTATCTATAATTATTACCACATACACAGCTCCTAATCTTGCACTGCCTTGCATCTTATAGCCTATCCAACATTTGACCTATATTCTTAATTTCACGAAGTATGGCCCTTTGCTTTGCGTATATAATGTGGGATATCTAGTCCTTCCTCGTATTTTTGTAAATCAGGATAATACAGTCTATGAAAAACACCACTGGTATCAGCGCTTTTTACACTTTGTGCACTGTAAAAATGTATAAATCTTCTGGTTTACCCTTACTCCATCTACTGTATACATGCAAAAATACTATTACAGTGCATCTAAGGTACTAGTAGCATCATTGTAGTTGCATTTCACCACTGTTTTACAATTAGAAGTCCAAGTAAAGATCATTTTTAATTAATCGTTTTTGTTTTTAAAGTGTCAGAAAATTCTTATTAAAAATCACAAATTTCCAGAGCCTAATTAAGATGCCTTTAACTTTTGTCTGACAACTGTCCCAAACTCAAATGTGTTCAATTTACAACAAAATAAAAGCAGAAAATGCGTGAAACATAGTACTGCGGTTTTAAAAAAAGCAGTACCAGCAAATGATTCACTTCTATTTTTTTTTAATGACAATGATTATCAAAACAGTTGCTAAATATTTTTTAGGTTATTGATCAGTCAACTAAGTTGACCTAAAAATTATTTGACATATACTTGATGAAAAACCAGTTAGATATCATCACCGTCATGTAGTTAAGAAGTATAACTTTCTTACATTTGATAATTTCATAAATTGACAATTTTGCACAATAAACAAGAAGTACAATCTTGCTCCATCACCCTTCAAAGAATGTGTCATTGTGCTCACAAGGTGACCAAGAGCGTGCTCAATGGGTGATTGTGTTATACAACAAAGATTTACAGATTTTGGTCTTTCAGATTTTTCTATAAGAGCTGCAAATATTTGGAGCAAGTTACCAGCTAGTATTGGACAATGACCTACCCTTGTTCAGTTTGTTGCAATTTTAGACCTTGCTAAAAGAGGAGCCAAGCATGTGGTCCCTGAGTGTCTTGGTAATTTTAGTAACCTCTGAATACATATGTGTGTGCAATGTACTTTAAATTATTATTAGCTGTAATGTACTTTTAACATTAGGTTTTTCTTATGTGTGATAGCTAGTGTTTATTAGTCTATTAATGATGACATTTAATTTTCGTGTATAATGACAGTTTGTGGAGTTTTATGATATCTATGTATTTCCTGTCCAGGTACTGCAGGTAAAATTTGGCTTTGCAGCAAATTCTGGGGCAGTCGATGGTTGTCCACTGCCCCTGTCATATAAACTATTAAATAAATGTGTGCATGTTATTCTGAGGCCATGGTATTCTTTGCTATTCACTGAATCTGCTGTAGGCTGATGTCCAGGACAGTGTATCCTTCCTTACTGCTGTTGTGTTTTTACATTTCAGCTCAAATTAAGTGATGATGCTCTGAGAATAGAAGTCAACGCAGACACCGTAAATGTTTCATCACCTCCAGCCGCTCATGTTTACAGATGTTTACAGGAACATGTCACTAAATTACAGGTAAAGTGGCCACACACTAAAAGCTTTATTTCCAGTTTATACATTTAATACTGATTAAATGGCATTTTTTTGGTGGGACAAAAATTAATTTATCAATGCATCTTTACATGAGATGGCAAAATGCTGATATTTAAAGTGTTCTCATACCTTTTTTTTCTAGGTGTCTTTGGTTGTTTTTGGGAGTCGGTCATTTATAACATATCTTGTTGTTTTGACAGTGTTCTTGTCTCAACAAGAGTTTTCTGTGTATTTAGGCTGTTTCAGAAAGCCTAAAGATACTGGTGGACGCTGTCGGTGATCGATCATCCACAGAGGACAATGCTGTCATCGCTTCTTCACTCCAAGAGCAAACGGCTGCACTGTCTGAGCACCATCCTCACCGCTCAGTGTCTGCAGAAAGCAAAACAGCGGCTGATGACGTCATGGTTCAGATCAGAGCTGGGAAGTCAGAGGTTGGTCTGTTTGATTTGTCATCTGTTCTGGCAGTGACATCTTTAGAGCCCTCTTTACTCTCTGTCAAGCAAATGAATAATCCTAAGTAATTGCTCCCAAGGATTTGCACATGACACTCCGCAGTGAGGCAAATGCTTGATGGAGAACCTGATAAGCTGGGTTCGGCAGAGAATAAGGGGTTCTTTAGTGATGTGGTCGGGTATAACAGACCACATTGCTGGAGGGCTTTGAGAGAGGGCCAGGTCCTTGATGGATTATGAAGTGGATGCTCATTACTCTGAGATTGCATGTGGATGAAGGACAAGAGGCCCCATTCTGTTGTGCATTTATTTTGGTAGCCAAGCAAACAGTATTCATTTGCCATCATGTGATGATGGCAAGCATTTCAACTTTTTTGGCTACCTGGAATAATTTCCTGCTGCGTTTCTCTTCCATGTAATATAAATTGCTGTGTACTGTTTGCCACAGATCATTAACTCCAAGTAGGCAGATAAACCTCATTGCATTCTTGACGCCTATCAACAGCTCATCAATCCATCATATCTTATTGTCTGTGTTGTCTCTCCATTTTAACCTAGATTGAGCGAAGAATATCTGCATTTATGGAACGCAAGCAGATGGAGATCAATGAAAACAATGTACGCGAGTTTTGCAACGTGATCGACTGCAATCAGGGTGAGAATGGGAGAGAGGTTGGGGGCAGGGTGGAGAGGGAGCCTGCACACAGATTGCCAATGTTTGGGAGAGAGCTGATTTCCACAGGCGAGAGGTCAGGCTGAACTGTTCCAAGAGTGGGGCTGAAGTAGCTAACGCACTCGGCCTCAAGACACAACCAGCTTAGTCCAGAAAAACATGAAACAGAGGGCCTTTTTAAATTCAAAGCCCACATGAGATACCAGGAGCAGAAATCAGGACACACTTATAGTAATAGGTGTAATGTGGGTGTAAGTGTGATATGTATTTTTTCCAATCTTTATTTTTTATTACATTCTAATTACATTCTGAATGTAATTTTCTTCTTTGTAGAAAACAGCTGTGCCAGGACAGATGCAGTTTTCACCCCTTACCCAGGTTTTAAAAGCCACGTGAAAGGTAAGAAAATAAACATTCACCACAAAAATCATTTAACAGGTTTAAGAATTGAAACCAGCCAAATTATATACACAATTTTTAAAAAGTCAGATCCATAATGTGAAAAATGCCTGTAAAAAAAAAAAAAAAAATTCACCTATCCAGAATTATTATTTATATTATCTTTTTGGTTTGGTTTGGTTTTGCTTCTAATGTCAAACTTCACTTTATAGTACATCACATGTATCCTGACAGAAATGTTTTGGGGTCAGTTTGCTGCCAGAAATCATAAAAGAAGTGCTGAACAATTAAAAGCACTAACAGTGTGATCTCTGTAAATTCATCTAAACAGCTTAACAAAAGCCAAGGGTTTGTCATATGCACAGTTAGGAAACATGTTTCCCTGTACAATGACATTCTTACTTTTCCGTCCACATGAAATATTTAAGAATATGATAAGAGAATGTATGCTGCAGTGTGCTATTATGCATGTGCAAACTGAGAATGTAAACAGTACAGGGCCCCCTCTGTTCCACAAGACTAATGCATGTTGTCAATCAGTCTCTGGTTAATATTGGGTTACAGCTGCTGTTTGTGTTGTTTTCCTTGACTGGCCAGTTACACGTGTGGTGAACACTTATGGGCCCCAGACTCGTGGTGGGGGAGGCCAAGGAGAGGCTGGAGAGCAGCAGAGAGGACCAAGGGCAAGAGACCTTGGAAATACAGCCATAGAAGAACGACTTCACAACATCGAGACTCACCTGAAACTCCCAACAGGTCAGAGACGAACAAAGCCTCAAATGTTTTACTAATGCTGAAATAAGTGTATATCACTTGGTCTCTTATGTTTAAGTGCAACACTTTGAACAGAAGTATTTGCCTTTTTCAGAAAGTCCCAAATCATATCAATTAACCATTACACTATAGAAAGTGACACATTGAAATGCCTTTATAAAGTATAACTCATGAGATATTTATTGTTGATAAATAAGACAAGAAGTCTGTATTTACTGAACGAAATCAATTTATTTACACAAACATGACAAGAAGCACTATTTCCAACAGTAATTTCATAAGACAGAAAAAAATGTATGTAAAATGAGTATTTAGGCTGCTCAAGAAGTGTCTTCATCCTCAGCAGGCCCAGTCCCATTGGGTGTCTACCGGAGACTAAAGCAGCTGGAGGATCGTATCCTGGAGTTGGAGGGACTCTCACCTGAGTACTTTCAGTCCACAGTAAGTCCTCCGACTTTGAATTAGATGCAGTAAAGGTACTTAATAATTATGACTCACTGTTACTACATGGGTCATACAAGTTTGGAAGAGTAACAAATGTATAACTCGTGGTGTCAGGATGTTGGTAGTAGTAACACTGCAGAATGCCTGAAAACCATTGGGATTTAATTAACTATCAAAGTAATTCAGTGATAGTTGTCGATACATTGCAAAGTGCATTGTCAATAGTTAATAGGTTTTGCCCCCCCATGGTGTTTCCTCCACACAGTTATTTTTTACTTTGTGTTGAGGTGGACCAAAGGTTTACAGAACAAAATAACAAAGCTATTACTTTAAAACTGTCTGGTTCTGCTTTTAACAGCTGACAGATCAGGTCTCTTAGACTGCCATCTGTCTCGTGTGAATGGTATACGGCCCTGAGCTGACCCGCATGCGCAGAAGAGGACGTGACGTCAGACGCAGTGTACTGTGTTTGCGGAAATAAAAATGGATGTGGCTCGTGATAGCATGTATCCAATGTGTATCCAAATTAGGACCACATATGAAAGTGGCCTGGGCCGGATTTGAGTCACTTCAGCCTGCAGTGTGAACGTAGTCTAAGACCACGTTCACATTTCTGCGCTGGAGGAGGCCATAAGCAATATTTGTGCTCTCCTCGATGTTATTTCTTTATTTCGATTGCACATTAACTGGTACATCGCTACGCACATGCTATCACGAGCCGCAAACACAGTACGCTGCGTCTGACGTCACGTCCTCTTCTGCGCATGCGGGTCACCTCAGGGCCGTATACCGTTCACACATGAGACAGATGGCAGTCGCATTTAAATGACAGTGTGAACAACAGCGCAAAAAAAACGATCTGAGCATTAAGACCTGCAGTGTGAACGTAGTCTTAGTTCTTCACTGTGCTCCATCATGATCCACATCTGGGAAAACAGTCCCCCTGAAATGAAAATATTCATTAAGACAAATATTTTCTGGGATTAAGCCACAGATTGTTTGACACAATTTCTGTAAAAACAGTCTCTCTTACCTTAATTTCCTCCTGAGGGTTGGCACCATTTTCCACAGCTGTGTCCTGTGAAGGGTTGTTCCATCCCTCAGTGTCAAGATCATCTTGGATTGGAGGCAGGCTGTGGGGGAAAACAGACAAAATGTTATTTTGTTCTGTAAACCTTTACTCCACCTTAACACAAAGTAAAAAAAAGTGCACTGAAGCATGCAAACCAATTAAGGGAGAAATGCTCACTTTAAGGTGTTCTTTGGTTGGGGACACTTCTCCCTGAAGCCTCCAACATCCACAGTCTCGGCTCCATTGTCCCCACTCACTCTTGAACATGCACTAAAACAAAACTGCAATCAAATTAAGATGTGCAGTGTTTCAGTATTATACAGACATTCTTAAATTCTACAAGGTTGACTGTAGTAAAATTGTCAGTTTTGAAATTGCCCTTGTAATGACTGAAAAACAGGAGCACCTACTGTAGTACGTACTGCTATAATATTTAACACTGATGTAGTTTTAATTATTCACATATTAAATGTTAAAAGAAAAACAAGAATCCCAGAGCCACGGATGCCTTGTTTTTGGCCGTTTGGAGGATCAGGATCTGTGACAATACATTTAGAGTTAACTCAGTCGGCTACTCGAAGTTGCTTACAAGTTTATCTACAGTGAATTAAAAAGATAATTCTATTTGCCAGATGTACTATAAACTATGGAAGCCCATTCCCGACAGTTACTCTACATTTAGAGTTAACTCAGACGGCTACGCGAAGTTGCTTACAAGTTTATCTACAGTGAATTAAAAAGATAATTCTATTTGCCAGATGTACTATAAACTATGGAAGCCCATTCCCGACAGTTACTCCGACTTAAGTAAATCTAAGTAGAAATTCTAACTTAGCTATGTCAGAATTTCGACTTAGCCAAGTCGAAATTCCTACATAGCTCAAAGTATCTTGACGTAAGCCTGTCAAGCGGAAGTAGTTATTCTTCTTCCTGTTTAGTTGTTTTTGGCGCGGAGACAGAGAGCTGCAGCACCCTTTACCGTAGCGTAGCGTGCACTGGATAACAAACAGCCATTGGAATTCACTCAAAACGGACCCACGCCTGAAATAATCTTCAATTATTCCATCCATCTGAACTGTGTGGTGTGAAAGGTGCTGTAGCGTTAGCTCTCAGTCTCCGCGACAAAACACGAAGAAGAATAACTACTTCTGGTTGACAGGCTTACATCAAGATACTTTGAGCTATGTAGGAATTCTGACTTAGATATAAGTAGAAATAACGACTTAGAGCGTTTTATTTCTCTTAACTGGCGGGAATGGGCTTCCATAATAAACTGTGTCACGAAACAAAAGATGAGAAATTCTAATCTGACCTGAACTTGTCATAGTACTCTCACTTGAACCACCACAACTTTAGAATGTTTCTCACCTCATCAATTTGCAGTTGACGTCCATATGTAGGAGTGACATGGGCCCAGAACGCTGTCGGTCCTCCTCGCAACACGCCAGAGACTGTTCAGGCTGTGCGAGTCCCATATTCTTGTCCATGCGCTCTGTGGCCTACTGAAAGACACATGAGGGGAGTTAGTCCTATAATGTCTGTCATAGTTATAACAATTACTCTGATCACAGAAAGACAGAAACCTGTACAAACTAACACATTTCACAAAAATCATCAAACATGGAGAAGTCAACAGCAGGTTTCTCAGTATGTGATGCACTTTGAGGCTAAGTGGATGTTTTAATGGCAACCGTTTTCTCTAATCAATTCATATTTCTTGCACATCTGAGCCTCTTCTCCCCTACTCACCTGACCTTTCCTTAATTTTTCTAGCCTATGCTTACTAGTCACATTAATGTAGTAACAGCATCAAACTGTTAGACAAAGCACTGTACATAAGTGCAGTTGAGGCTTCTGTACTTATTTCTAGTGTCTGCTGCTTCACATCTTACCATACCTTTTTACTTCACTAGATTTATTTGATCATTTGAGTTTATAGTTTCTTTACAGAATTAGATGAAAAGAAAATACAGTATAAGCCTAATCATGAGACGTCAGTAATCTCTGGTGAGAAATTTACAAGCTACTCAGCAGAAGTTCAATTTTTAACTGTTAAAATATTTCGTATATAAAAGGTATATTTCGCTGCCAATGCCTTTGCACTATTATTTAAGCAACATATTGAACGTAGCACTCGTACCTTAATGGGGCATCTCAGTAAAAAGAGTCCGATCGGTTTGGAACAAACCAAGTTTTCATCAGGGCGGAAACTGCACCTGTATGTTTCCGCCCTGATGACCAAACCGACCAGTGTTTTTTATTGAGCTGCACAATTAATATGAAATATAAAAGACATTTACATTAAGGGGGCATGTAAAACTAGAGGCGTTCTTTTATCTACAAGACTACACATCCAACAGGGAATAAGTTACAAGTCAACTCTTAAGAGATTTCTCCTACATTGAGCAGGTTTCACTATTTAGCCTGACTATTGATAGGCAGTGTTGCAACCCCTGTCTCATCTAGTAATTATATCTTTTCTGGTAATTGTGAGATCGTGCATAGATTGGAACTCTGCAGAACTTACCTGACAATCATCAGGTTTTAACAAATTCTTAATCAGAGTACTAAAAATATTTCATAATTACAGTACGAGTTAGTTACAAGATAAGAGCCTTTTTTTGGTGAATGCAATGCACTGGCTTTACCTTTACAATCCTCTGCTGCAGTGGTTCTTTTGCCTCTGATTTGCTCGCATACCGTCTGTCCAGATCCTTTATTTTGGATACTTGGATTTGTTTAGAGTGGATAGTACTGTGGAAAAAGAATGTGCACACTGTCCAGCAGTATTTCAGACCATTAGTCACACTGTGTTGCCCAGAAGCTCTTTGGAGTATTTTTAGTTTGTCCATTTCACACACTCACTGTTGGCTTGCACAGTTAATGTGTACAATGCCTAAACTGGCAGGTAGAATATTGGTTTGATGTAGAAATGATTTCAGAATGAAATGTACTTACTGAGAGGAGTTTGTGGGAGATGCTAATGGAGTTTTCCCTGATGTGTCCTGATACTTCAACACGTTTCCCTTCTCGAGTTGCACTTGAGTTGATTTGAATCAAAAAAGCAACACATTTGGTTAGATTTACATTTAGATCACTACAGACAACTCACTCGAGAAATGAAGACTTTTTACTACTCCGTGCTTTTAGGGAAGTGCAGGCTCAGTAGATGGTAGTAAGTAATTTATTGGACTTCATATTCAACCTGAGAGACTTACACAGACTCTAATTTCCCATCTTGAAGGAGTCTGACCAGCATGTTTAGTTATGGGTAAGAGTGCTTGAGATGCTGCATGTCTCCTCATGCTGGTATTTCTCAGCACAGCATGCTGCCTCTGTGAGTACGCTGCTTTTGACTCGCTGCATGTTTGTATGAGCACAGCAAGAGATGTCGAGAGTCTTCGAATATGAAAGATCCTGTCAGTTTATTCAGAGTGCCACTTTTTTTTTTTTTTTCCAATTTCTGATTTCTGAAGATACTGTAGTTTGGTGTTTGCTGAAGAGCTGTACACAGTTGGCCCACGATTTCAGGAACATTTCAACACTGAACAGCAAAGGAGGCTACTTCAATTATGCAGCAATCTAAAAAATAAACAAGTAGTTTTTGTATGGTGCGTGGCTGCAGGGGCCAATGTAAGCTGACAACCGTAACAGCTTATTAAACGATATCGTGATATCTTTGAGATTTTCTCAGATAGCTTAATGTCATTCATTTGATGATACATTAATGGAATACCACCGCAGCTACGCACCATATTTAAAAACAGCAGCTTAAGGGTTATGCTAGTAGATGAAGTAGCGTTATCAGTGTCATGACATTGGTAGTGAAAACCCTTGAATACATTTTGTATATTGTACTCTGTCATTTTGCAAGAAAGTCCCCTAAACAATCCCAGAATTCAACACAGTTTACTCCCTGATGTCATTGTGAAATAGGCAGAGCACATATTAGATGTATTAAGTGGATATTAGGACATTCAAAGCCTACGTTTTAGTATTAGAAAAAGCCTTTCCATTAAATCTTCTCAGTAAATTCTTTTTCAGTCCTTGAGGTGAAATAAGAAGGTGAACAGACAAGTACCTCAGTGTACTTAAAGTTTGAGCCAGTTAAGAAATTGTTCCTATTAAAAAGGCTGTGTGCTTTCTTTGTAGAGTCACCTGCACAAGCGACCAAAGGCCTCCCCTTCTCAGGTTAGAAGCTTTTTTTTCCTGTTTCCTTTCGCTGCACTTTCTAAGTGGAGGTTAACCCTGTTTTGATCAGTTTTTTTTTTTTCTTACCTTGTCCTTCAGGCCTGCAGTCTGACAGAGCTGGATGAAAAGATCAGTGCAGTGAAAGCGGCGCTTCTGAAGAGGGTGAATGAATTTGGGCCTGGCTATGGGGCAGAGTGTCCACTGTAACAAACACAAACCAGACACAATACATTTATTAATGCATTCAGCATGTTTCCTCGGTTTCTTTTCTGTGCCTTAGCAACTCATTAGCACCACTCTCACCATCTATGTAGTTAAAAATTTCACATGCCTCATTTTACCTTTTGATATACACTGCCCAGCCCCTTCAAAAGTCACACCTGTACAGTTGTGTGCAATCCAGTGCAACACTTCTGCCTTCACATCTGTATTTATGAAGCTCAATTATGTATCTGTGAGGTCATAGTTAAAGGTGGTGGTGGTGGTGTACCGGACTAAATTATATTCAGAGGCGTCTATATTTTTGACCTCCCCAGCTACAAACAGAGGGTCAAAATATTAGGAACACCTCTGAATATAATGTAACATCACCTTTAATTATTACCTCAGTAGTAAACATACAATTGAATTTGTACATTTATGGTAATTTCACCAAAAACAAATGTTAAGGCAGAAGTGTTGCACTGAATTGCATACAATTGTACCGGTGTGACTACTCCAGTGGCCAGGCAGTGTGGTTTACTTAGATGTTACTCCTCTGTAAATAAAGACAATAAAGGTATTTTTTTCCATGAAACATTGAACTTGCAATTGACTCATGATTTTAATATATTCACTATTAAATGCATTGTAATGTGATTGCACACAGTCATTTATTTATTGGTAGAAAGTATAATTTTCATTAGTATATCTATAAATACATTAAGGTGGCTATAAGTGCTCAGTTTGCGTGTTTCCATCCATTTGATGTTTAATCTTGGGCACGCACCTCTAACTTGGCACCCATCATAACTTTAATTTTCTGACAATGCACAAATGGTTTCAGCTATAACAGGTAATACAACAATTTGAATTGCCTTTAAAAAAAACTAAATGAATAATTATATTGATCATAGATGTTTTTTCATCTTTAATGTCTAATATTAAGAAGGTGTGTATGTACATCTTCTCGTGTCTGTGTAACTGAGCTGAATCTGAGAGGGCGCACCTGATTTATCTGTCTGCTGTGTGCAACAATGATCACCCCTAATGGTTGTCATTATAACAAATGACCTGATTACAGCAACTCTGTTTGGAAAACATATTGGAGACCCAACAACCCAGCATTAAATGGTACGCCACTGCGTTTGACACTGTGACATGTTTATAAAAGATGTAGAGCTTTAACTGAGCAAGCGGCTGAAGCAGTAATTATGATTTGTTTTCTCTCGTGAGTAAACCAGGAGGATTACTACATTACTGGGAAATTGCAGTGAAGGATTAACTGACAGGTATCTGCTGGCTATGGTAGAAGAAGAGTCAAATTCTTTACTCAAGTTAAAGTATTAGTACAGTTTGAAACTCCTACTTAAGTAAAAGTACACAGGTATTATCAGGAAAATGCACCAAAATGTATTCATCCTGTAGATCACAACCTTAGATTGTTAATCCTGATGCATCAATATATAAACAGCATTTGACTCTACTGATACTTGTAAACAATTCATCTTCCAAAGGGTCACAAGATTGATGGGAAAGAAAGAAATGTTCTGCTGTAAACTTTGTACTTATTTGACTTTTTTTTCAGTGTAATTTTGGATAATTTTTCGTCTTTGGACCTTAGACAGTGATCTAAGAGCAATCATGCCCTATTAATGGAAAGAAACCACTGAAACACTGATTTAATTTGTGATAATGTGTACATTTTATGAGCGTACCCACAGAACACACTGTGGTATATGGCACAGTTTCAGGCTATATTCTTGTCCCACTACAAATAAATATTAAATCTAATTAACTACTAACTGTAGCTGTCAAATTTAGTGGGGTAAAGGCATACAGTATTCCCACTGAAATCTAGAGGTATATAACTAAAGTAGCATAAAAAGGAAATACTCAAGTAAAGTACTAGTACCTCAGAACTGTACTTAAAGCTACAATCAGTAGGAATTCAAAATCTACGTAGCTGGCACTAATATGAGACTCTAGAGCCAGTTGGCTCAGCTCCACCCAGCCCTTTGTGATCACAGATACCAACGAAGTTCACCCAGTTAGCGGACAGTACGACATTCATCTGGTGGTGGGCATAATTCAAATCACGGCAAAAGTCATCTCAGGACGCTTTACAAAATAAGGTCTAGACCTTACTATCAACATTATTATTATTATTATTATTATTATTATTATTATTGCCTCAACCGGTTGGGGTGAGTGGATAGAGGAGAGAGAACAGAAAAGAAAAGCAACAAGACACAGCAATGAAACACTGGGCAGGCTGATGTGCCCGGTGACTGCTCATCGGAAACGTACAGCTCCAGAGCCAGGCACAAAAACAACGTAACTCCCCAACTGACCGCCCTGCTTCATGACAACTGTGAAACAGCACAACTGTGTAGCAACTTCCACCACATGACAGGTGGACACCACAAATTTACAACCAGCACGGTTTGTGAACATCGGCAGGGAATTAAGAGTGGGTCCTGAACTTTCACAGAAAATGTTTGCAAAGCCCTTCTATATGGTTGCAAAGCAAACAAATATCACCACAACTTCAGCAGGCACCAAACTGGGGTGACTGAGAACAGACTTCTGGGAAAAATCACCAGGTTAGTGGAGACTAGAACACTTTCAGCTGGTGGGCAGTAGAACAACGCAAGTCACTGAGCTGACTGCCCTGCTTCTTGTCTACTATAAAGCAGCACAACTATGCAGCAACCGTGACAACATGACAGGTGGATACAACACATTTCCAGGCAGCACAGTTCGTGAACATCGGCAGAGAAATAAAAAGTGGGCTGTGAACGTTCACACAAAAGTTTGGTGAAGCCATTTATGCCAAAAACACAGGTTGTTCTGTCATATATAGGACACGCTTTGAAAATACATCAAAAATTGAATGAGAGTCAACGGTTTACTACATACTGTGCCGTTAAGTACAGTACTTAAGTAAAATGTTTCTGCTCAGCTTGTCTGGTGGAGCCAGCTTTGCAAGAGGAAATTAACTTCCTCAATCACCCTTTTAAAATGATTAATTGCAAATAAAGGTGCTTTGGGAGGGCTGACCAAATAAAAGCACAGACCACGTTGAAGCCGCTGGTTGGAGGTTTTAGGTACTTTCGTGCTTCTCGTGGAACAGAAAGACCATAACGTGGCATTTTGAAAACAATTTTGCAATAGATGTAACAAACAAAAAATGACTTTCTCACGTTTCTGGAATTTACAGTAACTCCCTTTCTTTTTCTTTGCGGATGTTCTTTGTATGTCATGTCAGGATTTATTTCAGACTTGATTGATGGAGTGACTGGAATACAAAACTGTGAAATTGTTTTCTTTTTTTTTTCTTTTTTTTTTTTACCTCTTCTTTCAGGTGTACCCCGATTGTTTGGCTGTGCCTGTCTCTTGCTCACAGACTGGAACCTTCTGGGCAACAAGGGGCCACAATGCGCTGGGAAGGGGAGCACTTGAGCTGCAGGGTGGGGGTGGGGGGGGTCTCATTGTTCCCAGGGAGCTTTTGTCTCAGACACAGTCCCCTTATGAGGGTTAATAAGGACAAATTAGTCTGAGTGTAACAAATGGATTATGGAGTTGGACAAAAGGTTGTATTTTGCAGGGTGTTTACTGGGATCCACCCATCATCTGCCCATTGAGCCGAGCACGCTGACTAGCATCTGCATGAAGTGGCTCACTAAATATCTCATTATCTTTATCCTGTCTGTTTTATTATACAAGCACATTATGTGTGCAGCTTCCTACAGCAAATTTAACTAAAAAGTAAAGTTTACATTCTAATAACGCAGTTTGTAATCACTGTAATTACCTGGCTTCTTTCCTACAGCTCACATCAAGAATATAAAGTCACTATATCAACATTAGTGTCAGTGGTTAGTGCTCTGAGGTTGGGTGGGCACAGTGGACCCTTTCAAATTAACAAAGAGCCACTTGCTCATTGACTCTATGTAAGTCCTGCCTGTCAATCAGTCTTCCCTCTGCCTGATGTCCCTGGAAACCTCAGTAAAAAGACACAGAGGTGTTCCTTGTCTTCTCTGGGTCCAGTTGTATTTTTTGGTGGGGTCGAAGGAGTGGATTCATATCCATTCATATCTCTCAAACTCTTAATGGGCTCCAAGCCCTCCAAAAAAGAAAGCTCTTTCCTGTGACTAGTCAGCTCCAGTCTTTATTCATCTGTGGCTCCGTGTCAAAAAAAGACTGTTGCTCGTTTGTGCCCTGAACAATGAGGAACAAGGCTGAATCTCTAGCTGGGAACAAAAGACAGAAAACAGGCTTTTCACTCAGCAGAACATTAGATTCTGACACATTTTGCCATGGCAGTTTTTTCCCCATCCTGAGTGCTATGGCTCTGGTCTTTTAAAGAGACCACCTGTTGGCTACAAGCCTGTTCTTCATTACAGACAAGCCTATTATCACAGGATGAGGAGCACCACAGGCTAACTTTTTTAAGTTAACCCTGCAGCAGTTTCCAAAGCTGGCCGACTGGGAAACGTAGGTTACGTGTTACCACTGAAAAATCTATTTTTTGCTTGTAATTTTATATCTTGTTTTAGAGTAAAGGCTTTTGTCAGCAAAAGAGAGAAGTAATTCCTAAATTCCCTTGTTATTAGTCACAAACAAACTGACTTGGGTGTCTTCTAACTACAAATTTGGAATCAAATTCATATGCATTGCTAGGAGAAAATCGATATGTACCTTCTGTAAAGCTGGAGTTATAATGCTTTGCAATTATTTCTGGCATCTGTAGGGCTTGTGTTCTTGTTTTAAAAGCAGATTTGAACAATTTAACACCCAAAACATTAGCATAACTACAGCGTGATAATGATTTTTGTGACTGTGTATAAGATAACAATACTGTAGGTGGCAATCAAATGCATACTTTGGCTTTGAATTGGACAAGACAAACAGACCGACAGGGGCCAGGAGTGGCTGCTTTGTGCTTTTGGTTTAACTGTGTAGAGATTTTAAAAATAATGGTAAATATGGTTTTCAAAGCCATAAAACCTACAGATACGCCAGAGAAAATTAAAAAAAGTTCAATTGCTCTGGGAGGAATCTTCATTTCTCATAAGGTGGCATTAAAACAGCAAATACCTCTGTCATGCTCATACCATCACTGTCAGCGTGCATCTGATGCAGTCACACTTGTTTCATGCTCACAAACACCCGGAGGAGGAGGGGGTGGATGCACCTGTGACCCTCCTACACAAAACAGACAGCACAAGAGA